CCTGCACATATAAGTAACTACATTGTTACCGGTATCATCAAATTTGGAAGCCTTCCGAAACTCTATCTCTACCGAATAGTCCACAATGGCTACGGTTTCACGATTGAGCTTGCGCATCCTACGCGATCGAGACCTAGTCGACGACGAGACAAAGAGGTAGACACATGCTAAAACTAGAGACTGGAGACTAAGCCCTATGTGCCCATCTATTCAAAGCTTGAAACACGCTAATGGCGAAATGACTAGTCGAATACTTATGAAGACTAGTTAGACTTAGACACTTAGTGGAACAATGCTAGCTTCTTTTACCCGTAACACAACCAATTCCTTTTTGTCTTCCCCCCTACTCCTTGGGCTGCAAGAATCGGTTGTTATTACCAAATTGAATTGTTGGGGAAGGACGAATCTAACAACGGATATTGCACAAATCATACTTCGACTTACTTACTGTTTTCCAGGCGGGACACTTACTCAAATGAAAGTCATTCATGAAATAGTTTGAAGTATGTAAGGTGTGCAGACTCCACCATATATAGCTATATTTCCATCTATTAAATCAATTGATTAACAGTAAGTCGGTTATCAAGGTTCCGACGTAAAATTTTTGAACTAATAACTTTGATTTCATGTCAAAATTAGTTTTCTAAAATTTATGAATGGTTGAGAAATATTCAATGATAGATCTTTGTACTGTTCAATTCCCTTCTAAAGGCAATAATTGCTTTTTCAAGAGAGAGAAAAAAAAGACATAAGGATTCAACCTCGTTCAATCCGATCGTAGGGTTGGATGGTTTACTATCGATGCAATTTTCACACAAAATGAAGATGGAAATTTAGGGATATTTTGGTTTGCTGTTGGGACCAGACCAAACTCATGAGAACCTCGGTTCAACAGTGAAAGACATCTTAAAATAAAGTATTGGATCGATATAACATTTATTTCACTTTGGTCTGGTCCAAGTGTCACTTCGATCTATTTTTTCCCCCTCAATAGTTGTGAAATTTATGAGACCAACGACCCAACCACGTTGTATATTCAGTTCGGTATGTTTCGGTTCGGTGAAATGACCATGACGGTCATGTGGGTGTGGTGGGACAGCGGGAATCTCCAAAAGCGGCCGCCGGTGTGGGTGTCGGCTAGCTTTTCACTGTGGTGGCACTTGCTCATTCAGTGGACGGGCCGGTGGCGGGATCCACCAGAGGACTCGAGGTTTACCGTTAATTACTACTCAACGGCGATGAGTAATTGGTTCTAATTCAAAGCACCTTGGTGAACACGTAGTTGAAGATATATTTTTAATATATTTGATGACAAAAAATATAATATATCAAACTGGTACCTCAATAGTCAATACTCATACCTATCTCGTGGTAGGTCGTATACCTTGTCTTGAGGCGTGGATCGAAAAAGCTAGACTTAGTACGGATATATGAAGAAAAAAAAAACACTTGAGAAATTGATCTTATATTAAAAAAATCGAGATATGACAAGTGAAGTTAAATTATTCGAGAAGTCGAGGTACTCGTTTATCACAACTTTGTTGCAGCTAAAATGCTATTTGTAAGAGAAATTCTATATAATTTAAGTAAAATCACACATAGTTTAGACAAAATGGACCGAGAATTGGACAAATGAGGTTGAAAAGAGTATCTATGTCTGTCCTGCCTGCTAGACGGGTATTCGATCGAGTCATATGTCAAAATTGTCATCCTGTATTTTTATGGCTCGCGACCAACGCTTGCATGAAGATGGATGCCTCATAACACCCCACAGGCGATCCAAGAATCGTGCACACGTTCTTACAGATAGAGTCAGGCTCAAACACAATTACTACTTCATATATATAACTCCACACGATATTAATATCATGAGATAACAGTATTCCCCATCTTTCCCAACAGAAATAAAACCAAATGCTCATTGGAAAATATGGCGAAGACTAAATACTAAAGATGGTTGGAGAAGGAAAACAATGTGGCTCGAATTTCAGTGAACGTTTGTGTGATTTTATAAATCTCATTTTCATTGGAACTTGACCACGCCCATGTGACATTGTTGTTGGGTCCATTGAGATCTAGATACACAAAATTCATCTCAAAGTTTCCCACTAGGACATGCTCATATCAGATCCATCCTTAGCACTAATTGACCTCCTCTCTTTTTCCTAGGCTAGCCTGCCCTATTCCTAAGACATGGGTGAACTTAAATTTCTCCCTAATCAAACATGTGTTAGTAGTCCAATTGCAAATGATTTGCTTTTAAATCAACTTGTGTTGACTGATTAGAAAAGGATTACATAACATCATTGAAGGAATAAAGGATATTCTTCTTTTGATCCAATATTATTAACACTATATGTGAAAGCATCAATGCTTCAAGATGTACGAGAAGTCTCCACACTTCAAGGTAGTGGCGAAGCCAAGCTTTAGAGTGAGGAGAGGTTGAAAACAAAATAATCGCAATAGTTTTCCAGACATGAACCTTAATCTTGCAGAAGGGGCTGTTATTAGCCCTCGTCCTACCACCTTCTAACGTTTTCCTTGATATATGAATAGTTGCATATACAATTCATAACCTCAAACTCAAAATTGAGGGGGACCTATAGCCCCTTATGGACTTTATGTAACCCCACGACTGCTTCGAGCCTCACATTACTCTTTTGTGATGAGTGGGTTAATGTTCATAGGCCAAGTCTCACATCTTCCGGACAAAGATAGCCGAATAATCAATATTAGGTCACTCAACATTGATGGTGAATCATATACATATATGGAATCATACATCCACTTCATATGATCGAAAAATATAGTTAGGAAAGTGGAGAGTGGTGGCAATATATAACTAACCACCATAGGATGAAAGATCCTTTCCAACAAAGTTGTCAAGATAAGCTTTAATAACTTGATTTGAGAGATAAAGTGCACAAGCTAATGCTTCTTTTCTCAATATTGTGGGATTTCTTTTCCCTCAAAAGCGCCATCTTTTCTTGCCAAGCCAATGATTGTCACACACAAGGCAAATGAGATCAACCAACACTTGTACTAAAGAGAGGATAGCAATATATGTGGAAGAGAAACGACCCAATTTCGTTCTAGTGCTTTCATCATTGGACTGGTCGATCCATGATCTATAATCGTTGGACATATCACATATGTATGGTACTTGTCACAATATTTATGTTACGTTGTGTATTACGAAGTGTTCAATCTATCGATGTAAATATGGACTTGCAGAAACGAGGTATAAACACGTACTTATATTAAGGATGATAAACACGCCAACCAGATCGTACAGGACCAAACCCATTTTATATAATCACAATAGTGGAAGCTATCGTCCTCAAATCTAAACCTGTTATGTATGACAACATGGGGACAAAATTATACATGGGATTAGCAATTTGGGGATTGCCGCGTGCATAAGGTTGCCAGAAACATGACCTAATTTTTTCAGGTTACATGATCTTGTTTCTTGTATGACGTGGGTTTTGTTGATCTTGCTTCCCATAATGGATTTGTAAAGTGTGTTTTACTTTAAGTACCTTATCTTTGCTTACCTCTTTTCAACTTTACTATTTAGCATGGTTTTTTTGTCTAGCTATAATGTTATGTGGTGCATCATGTGTTCTCTATGATAAGATTATGGTTCAAAAAGGCACGCTTAATCTTATGTTTAGGCACGCCTAGGCGCAAGGCAATGGAAAAACGCCTCACCTAGGGGGTTTGGGCCTAATTAGATGCTGGAACACGTCAATGGAGTAAGGCGACATATAAGTCTCTCCTAAACATTTATAGATGGAGCTAGGAAGTCAATATTAAAGGAGAAAATTAACATCAACTACTAAAATCAATTTTCTATATCAATATTTTCAATAGCTCAAGAACTTTGTGTGCTATTGATCTATAAATCTATGAATTCGTGAGTTATGTTCTTGTCATTAAGTGTTGAGTAAGTTATTAATCATTTTAAACTGAAGTGAGGAAGTGTTGTAGATTATTATTTCATTCATCATGCAGTGGGAATAGCTATTTCTTCCAATGCCTAGGCACACTTAGTCTACGCCTAGGCGAGCTAGGCGCTAGGCAAAGGCTCAACGCCCGCCTTACGCCTAGCACCTTTTTGAACCCTGGATAAGATACATAGATCAATTGCATTTTTTTTTTAATAAGAGAGTGATTGTGACCCTAGAATAATCGATGGCGAAGGTATGACATAAAGCGAGGAGTAGCGAGAGAACGAAAATAATAAACAATAGTTTTTCGTGATTGAAACTAAGTCTTGGAAACTCATCTTACCACTTTATAATATTTTCTCGAGGCATGAATATACAAATTATATCCTTAGCCAAAAAACGAGCGATGGAGTTGTAGCACCTCCTAGACTACGTGCAGTTTCATCACAAGAATAACGTCGTCATTGTTCGACTGTGATTGAGTAGGAAAACTAGTTTTCTTCTCACGGAAAACTACTTTGTGATCATGGCTTTAAGCGTCTTGTGATAACACTCTTTAAGTTCAAACAATCTTTCTTATTAGGTAAAGTGAGAGAAAACAACAAACTTAATAGCCCAAGCAAGTGAATTGACTTATAGTAGCATTGGTTCAAATGAGCTGCTATGCTGATTTGTTTAATCTAAACCGAAAAGTGGACAGAGATGATGGTAAGGTGGATGGAAAAATCATTTGGTTAGTGAGTGTAAAGTTGAGGGACGGTTTTGTTATGATTACAAAGTAAGCGACTATTCTCTCAATTATCTCTGCCGTGAGAAACCGGCCCACCCAATATAACACTAAGTCAAGGTCCTGGGCCATGGTATCGGCCCAAACTTGGGTTGAGCCAACTGCCGAGCCTTCATATCGTGCCGACTGCCGACCAATAAAGCCTGGCCCAGTGAAGCCTATACTTCGTCCAGTCGCGGCCCGACTTCAAGTTCCAAGGACTAGATCGACCTTTCGACTTTGTCTCAATTTCCATCTTCTTTCTGCATTGCAAAGCAAAAGCCTCATCAGTTACAAGTAGAAGCTGTTTTCCTCTCGTCACTCTCAACTCCACATGTTACTACACGCAGCACACTTCCTATTTATAGATATAGCTGTACCGCCATGACTGAGGATCAGCTTTGTCAACTTGGAGCTGCGGCTGATTTTGTACTTTTGCTTCATGTTTATCCCAGAGCATTTAGTATAAACTTGACTGATGATATTGATGATTCATATCCATTTGTGTATTACACAGAGATGCCTGGAATTTTGGAGAATTGCAGCATCTTGTTGACAGAAACCAGAAGGAAACGATGTCGATCACACTCAACAATGGCTTCAAGATGCCCATCATTGGGCTGGGAACGTGGCAGATGGGAGGGAAAGAGATTAAGGGTCTGATCATGAACGCTATCAAGATCGGTTACCGCCATTTTGACTGTGCTGGTAGTACTGCTTCTACTGAACACTCTTCTTCCCTTCACTGCGTTTTTACTTCTGATGCGGGTTCTTGACCAGTAACCGAATTCTAACCTGGGCTGTAATGGGTTTTGTTTTGATTCTACTGCAATCAAACATTTTCATCAAAAGATTGGTGCTATAGTTTCCAGTAAGCATTTGATTCCTTCACGTTAATGGGTTCTGATTGGGCAGCTGATTATAAGAACGAGGCTGAAATTGGGGAAGCACTTGCCGAAGCTTTCAAGACCGGTCTTGTGAAAAGGGAGGAGCTTTTCATCACTACTAAGGTCTGTTTGTCTTTTTGAGCTTCAAAAGTGCTGTTTTTGGTTTTGATTCATATTTGAAATCTGAGATAACACAAGGTTTGACATTCAAGAACCCCCTTTGGCATCCCGTCAGCTCTGGAATTCAGATCATGGACATGTTCTTGAGGCTTGCAAAGACAGCCTGAAGAAGCTTCGGCTCGATTATCTGGATCTCTACCTTGTTCACTTCCCGGTCGCCACCAAGCATACTGGTATGAGTACTCACATTTGTTCCTCGTTGATGTTTGTTTCTGCAGAGTTTTCATTTCTGCTCTGTCATTTTGTGTCCAAGTCTAGCCTAAATGACTTAGAACCACTACTAAACGCTTTTGTCTAATGTTAATCTGTGTATCCGTGGTTGAGAAGTCAATCATTGCCTTAGCACCACTACCAAATGCTTTGATCTACACTTTCGTATCAGCTGTTCCTCCCTCACATGAATTCAATGTGTGGAATGGTATGAATCTGCCAATCAGTGAAATCAGCAGTAGAGGCCACAAACTCATCAGTGTATGATGTTTTTTCTTCTTCTTTCTCATACGTAGGAGTTGGCACAACATCTAGTGCAGTGGATGACAAAGGCGTTCTGGAAATCGACACAACCATATCGCTGGAAGCTACTTGGCATAACATGGAAGACCTTGTCTCTAAGGGTTTAGCCCGAAGCATCGGTATAAGGTGGCAACTCCAACCCTGAATCACTTAGATGAATCTTCTCTGATAGTTTAACCTTCCAAGTCACAATTACTACTATTATGCATGCATTTCCCTCCATTTCTTGCAAGCTTCTTATGTGTAGCTGCGAGTCTTCTGATTGCATTGTTGCTCTCCTGCAGCAACTACGATATCTTTCTGACCAGAGATTGCCTAGCCTATTCAAAAATCAAGCCTGCAGTGAATCAATTTGAGATCCATCCATATTTCCAGCGCGAGTCTCTCGTGAAATTCTGTCAGAAGCATGGCGTCGCAGTGACAGCTCACAGCCCTCTGGGTGGTTCTGCAGCTAACATAGAATGGTTCAATTCAATCTCGTGCTTGGATGATGCTGTTCTCAATGTAAGTTGGGAGACCATGAGCAGGTTAATGGTTCTTCAATCTTCATTGTTACTCTTCTTCTGTTTTGCTCACACTAATCTTCCCATCCCTCCCCCTCTATCAGGATTTGGCTGAGAAGTATAATAAAACACCTGCCCAAATTGCACTAAGGTGGGCGATCCAGAGAGACACAGTCGTCATTCCCAAGTCTTCGAAGGTTGAGAGACTGAAGGAGAATTTCGAAGTTTCCGACTTTGAGCTGACCAAAGAGGATAGGGAGTTGATCAAGGGTATAGACAGAAAATATCGTATGGATCTGCCCGCCAAGAGCTGGGGAATCGATCTCTATGCTTAGATAGGTATCTTATGCTTAACGAGCTGGACACATTTTCAGTGTATTCATCCATTGCAAGTTAAGGCTCAATTTACAGTTTGGACCACTTTACTAGTTCATACATTAACCTAGCATAAGAGCAAGGCAATCATACATTCTTTCCCAAATGAAACTTATTCAGTAAACAAAGGGGATGATTGCGCACCGGTCCTTGGGATAAGCATCAAATTTAAGAAGATACCACCTATGTGTTTCTGCAGCTGCCAATGCCAGATTTCCCACCTGCAAAAATACCAAATCTCACAAAGCTTCCTTTGAAGAACAAGATTTCTTCCCCAAGAAATGGAAAATAAGCAAAAAATTGATAACAAAAACAGTACCACAAATCCAAAGAGCAACCAAATAGTTAGGTCTGTTCCCCGACTGGCAACCACAAAGCCACCATATAGAACCTGTAAACCAATTGCAGAAAGTCATGAGTTAAAACTAAACAGACAGAAAATGTGAGAGCTGTGGAGCTAAGAGCCATAAACAGGCTTACAATCTCGGCCAGATAATGTGGGGATGAAACAAGCTCGAACCAATCACCACAAGGGACAACGTATTCATCCATTTTCTTCCCTTGATTTCTTAAAGAGCCCTGCATCAATAGAGTATGCACTTCATGATGACAGGCACTTGGGAAATCTCGAACATTAATCTGTTTGATCACTCACCAGAATCTCATGGCACCGATGCTGATGAATCCAACCCCAGAGAAATACAGATGCTCCAATCCAGGACAGCCATCCAAGCTTCAGAAGCGGGTTAACAAACTCCCACCAATGAAATCTGAAGGCTGGCACTATTGCACCTTTGCTTTTAGCAACAATCAACCTATTCACCACATTTGCACCATACTTGAACATCTCAGATGCATTGCTACAACATAATGATAGAGGTGCTGCTGTATAGAAGCTGACATCACCGAGAGCAATAACAATGTTAGTAAAAAGAAACAAATATGCCCTTTTTTATCCATTGCCAAAGATATAATGATGGAAGCTGCAGGGGAACTCACAATAAGCCAGCAACATAGCCAAACATATGCATCCGTGCTGTCGGGCTATACTTGAAGACATAGATGGTCTCGAAAAGCCTTCTCAATACTTGAGCTTCCATTAGCAAAAGTAGAAACACAGAAAGCCACAACCCATATCTATGCCTTGAAGAAACGAGATGAGATCCATCAGAAGACACGCTGCTTGAACTTGTTGTTAAATAGCCTAGCATGCTGGAGAAGAAGAACGGTTCAGAAACCATTGGCGCGGTGTTGTATGCGTAGACCCATGTCGTACAAAGCAGGATGGTCGTCCAAACCACTCCTAACACGTAGAAGTGACAGAAGAATCTCTGAGGGACTGTGATTTTCTACACAAAATTAAAAAAACAAAGGCATCCATGACTTAGAAAGTGTAATAACACCACTATCACAATACAATACATTCAAACAAACAACCAGAATCCAGCAAAAACTCTACCAGGTCACAGACAAAGATGATTCTAACTAATCAAGCCAAGCAATTTCATCCTTCTGATACTTGTTCATACATAACAAGCACAGAGTAGTTCATTCCTATCAATCTAGTTTTAGAGAGGAATCAGCATTCAAATTCCCGAGCCAACTCTAGAATTTGGATATACTTAGATTCAGTAGTTTGAATCTCCCCATCATTAGCATACAATGAAAATAAACTAAACTATCCAACTACAACATCAAAACTTTCAGCCTCGATCACAAGAATTTGGATACACTTACAGAGTAAGAAGACTGTGGCATGATCTTTCCTCTCTTAGCAAACCCCACGACAACTCCATTGAACCAGCCCAGTTGAGGAAACGGCAGTGAAGCTACTAACAATGGCAGTATGGCTGCAACCCAAAGGCCTTCCAAGATACCCACAACCCCAAACTCCATTTTCGTTTCCCACACAAACCCATATAAAAAATCAAAGCCTTGGTCTTTGTAACAACACCATCAGCGTGTGTGAAAGAAGGGAAAGAAGACGGCTTTGGTTTATCTGGATCACCAATACTCGTGTGGTGGTCGGCGGATCGATTCCTCCGAGAAATGAAGAGAAAAAGGTTCTTGATTGGGAGGAAAAGGGTGGTTAACTGAAGAACAAGAATGGAATTGACAGAGGAAGGAGGAAGAAGAAGAAAGGGACGAGAGATCAGAGAGACGAGATTGAAAAAAGGTATCATTTAGTGAGATCTGTATAGTTTACTGATCATGGAGAAAATTTATCCGATTGCTTGATGTCAAAACTCAAAAGGGAGGGAAAATAATAAATGCGCGGTAAACGACATCGTCTTGAACCAAAACCAAACGGCTGTCGTTTTGGAGCAAGAATGGCGGGGGAAAACGACGCCCAATAGCCCTCATCCATCACTGCTTAATCTCTCTCTCTCTCTCTCTCTCTCTCTCTCTCTCTCTCAATCTCGCTCTCTCGCTCTTCCTCTACTTGTTCGTTCGTTGAGAAAATTTCGAGCTTTTTTCATCTGCTGCTGGGTGAGGTTTGGGATTGGGGATCAAATGTCACTGCTGCAATGATCAGTAAGTACTAATCCAAATTTTCTTCAAGATCGATTCTTTCTGTTCATGCACTACTTCAACTGCCCCTTCTCTCTCTACCTCTCTATCTCTCTCCTCTTCATTTTAGGTTTTATCTACCGAGTATTTGAGATTCTGACTAAAAATAGTCTGCTTCCTTAGAAATGCCCCACTCCAGTAATGAAATGGTGAATGATCTTACGGACATTCTTGTTTTTAGCTCAATCTGGGTTTGGTCTTTTCGGGGTTTCAATTGATGGGTTTTGCTTGGATTAGGGCATGTTCTTGCACTGAGATATCTGCTGGGTTGGTGCGAGATTGGCTGTTTTCTAGCTGCACACGTATTGTGGGTTTGTTTTGTCCTTTTGGTTGATTTGTAGCCTGTGGGATTCTTTTGTCCTTATTGGAAATCCTTTGTTGATGATCTCTTGTATCAGGTCAAGTTTTTGACTGGGATTGCTAGGTTTTAGTTTTTTTTTGCTTTGAATGATAGCTTTCCCCAACCTGTTTGTGGTTGCTTGCCCGTATGCTTCGTCTGTGCCAGTTTCAGAATGGTTGTATTCCCTCTTGGCTCTAGGATTTTACAATTTTTACTGATGAGTTCATAGCAGGAGGACATGGAGTAATGAGGTTGAGCCCTCTTGTCTAAGTTTAATGGTCTAATGCCCGGAAACATAAATGGTTAGTTTCGAGACGTGATCTTCGTGAGTTGAGCCCACTTGTTCCAGTCCCCTCTTGCCTAAACTTTTGCTTGGAGCTTTTGTTCTCAATTCTCATGGCTAAGGGAGGAGAAAGAATCTGCATTGTTCGTATTAGTTTCCTCTCGAGTTTTTCCTGTTTTCTATTTCATACTTTTATGAGATAGCGAAAATGATACTTATGCATGCTTATGAGCTCATAAACATGGAGTCTGGACTGTCTTCATCGGTCTTCGTTTTGTATTATGTTCTCATTAAGTAGTAGTTATCTGTATTAAGTTTTACGGTCATTCTCTGCGAGTGTCATGTGGCTCATTTCTCTCTGCCTTGCTCGGTTTCATGGACATGAAGGATTGGTTTTGGATTCTGCTTTCTGAAAGCATATTGGTATTTTTTTCCAGGAAGGGTCCAGGATTCTAAATTCATTTACAAGAGTCGGATTCTGTTCTGATGCTCATTCTACATCGTGAATAGTGCTAACATTCGGTTAGAAGATGGATGATGGTCAAAATGGCAGGTACAAGGACTATTACAAGGCTGCACATCCTGTGGTTAGTCTTCATCTTCTTCTGAATTTACTTTCCATCTTCATTTTCCCTAGTTCATCGGTCAGTCTAATTCAATTTATCAAATGTATTAAGTAGTTTTGAATTTGGTGCTTCCACAGCAGCATCAAGGGAAGGAGCAAACAAATGCCCTAGTAATGAACAAGAAGATCATGGCAATCCTCGCCGAGAAGGATGCTGCCATTCAAGAACGGAATCTAGCTGTCGCCGAGAAAAGGGAAGCCATTAAAGCCCGAGACGAAGCAATACAGCAGCGGGAGAAAGCCCTAGCCGAGAGAGATAAAGCCCTGATGGAGCGAGACAATGCCTTTGCAGCAATTCAATATAGAGACAACACGATGAACTTCTCGTTTGGACGTGGATCCAAGCGTATCCCACATCCTATCTACCATACAGCGAACGACTTGGAAGAAGCGATGAATGGTGGACAAATGCCCAGCCCGGGGGCTGCCTTTCCGATAACTACTATACCTGCTGGAACACATAGCAAGCCACGTCAGACAAAGCGGTCGAAGGAGAACAATGCAGTTTCTCTGAAGGCGAATAAATCGCCACGCAATGCAAACAACCACAAAATCGGCGAGGATCTCAACAGAAAGGTGGTGACAGAAGGAAGGAAGTTCAAGTCTGATTGGGATACACTCGATGTTGGGTTGAACTTGATCAGTTTCGACGAATCCACAATGCCTGCTCCAGTTTGCTCGTGTACCGGAGCTCCGCATCAGTGCTACAAGTGGGGGAACGGCGGGTGGCAGTCGTCGTGTTGCACCACCACCATGTCATGCCATCCACTGCCACAGCTACCCAACAAGCGGCACGCGAGGGTGGGAGGGAGGAAGATGAGCGGGAGCGTGTTCATGAAGTTGCTGAGTCGGCTGGCTGCAGAAGGGCATGATCTGGGGATTCCTCTTGATCTCAAGAATTACTGGGCTAGACACGGCACCAATCGCTACATCACCATTAAGTAGAGAGGGCTTCTTTTTCTGTTGCTCTCTCCATTGATTTGGGGATGTCGAGTTGGTCGTTGTAATTGATGTTGAGGTAGATAGACCCCTTGCTGTACGTTCTTCATTGTTGCTGGCTTGCTGCTGAAAAAACACAAGTGAACTGCTCTCTTTTTTTCTTTTTGCAGCAGAATTGGAGCTACTACTTGATAGAGAAGTAAGAGTCGTTCCTTTCTCTTGTCTCCCTATTTCTTCTGTTTTCCCTCTCTTCAGCTCTTTGCTAGCATTTTCTCGATTTATGCATGTCATCCTTGCGAAAGGGGTTTTTGTATAGTACCAATCGAATCCATCCCTGAAGACTAATCTAGTCTGTTGATCGTGTGTTGACCACTAAAGTGTCTCAACACCTGTAATTCAAAATTCTAGATTTCTTGTTTATCAATCCGAAGTCCAAACAAACAGCAAATGAGAGCAAGCTGCGTACCAGAATTAGGCGAAAAAATAATTCAAAATGAACAACCCAAGCCAAATCCGGTGGGATCCCTGAAACAGAAACAAAACCCAACTCCCCCTGTTGACGATCTTTCTGCTTACTCTTCACTTTCCCACTCTCTATAGAATCCAATCCAACAAACACCTCTTCCATAATGGACACAATCCCATTGTCACCATCATCATCAATTCACAGCAGTTTCGGAGCAAAGGTGAGAACTTTCTTCTTCCATATCCCAAACCCACGACTCTCAACTCTCTACAGTTTACACTATCGGCAGCTCTTCCATTTTCTTCCTCGGCATTGCCATGCTATTCCAGTGGTGCTTCCATGGCCACTGGACACTTCTTACCTCTATCTCTCTCCTCGCCCTCCCTCTCTCTCTGTTCCTCCTCTGTTTCCTCTTCCACCGCCGTCTCCGAAATGACGAAGTTTCATTACCCCCAACTCAACGAACTGAAGAACGAGAAGAAGAAGAAACAGCTTCTTCCTCCATGGTCTCTTCGTCGGAAGATGATGGTCATCACGGCGATTCCGGGTCGAATCAGAAGAGGGAGTTTGTCATTTGTGCGGTGTGTGCGTCAAGACTTGTTGTCTCCGGGCCGAATCGGACGTGGGCTCCGGCGGCGGCCATTGAAGAGGGGCGATTGAAACGAGAACAGGGTGATTTTGTTGTCTGTGCTTCGAGTCTGGCCGCTTCCTCTGGTGGGAACGGGAAAACAGGGGAGGAAAAGGAAGCTGATTTTGTCGTTTGTACATCTAGATTGGCTGAACAGAGTGGTGGGGATGAAACAGGGGAAGAGAAAGCCGCCATTGATGACGGTAAATCAAGGAAGAAGGTAGGCTTCGCCATTCGTGATGGTAAATCAAGCTCCTCGGTATCGGCATCCATAATTGATCAGGTCGAATCGAGCCAGAAGCAAGAACTCGTCGTACGGACGTCGAAATCGGCCGTTCAAATCGGTGGGATGGGAACAGAGGCGGCTATAATCAATGGCCAGGAAACTAATCCAAATGAAGAAGAATTGGGTCCAGATGGTAACCAAGAATCTGCTGTTGACGAATTCTTCAGCTGCGTTTCGAGCATGGTTCCAATTGTTACTGGTGGGTCCGAAGCAGGGGCCGCCATTGATCTTGTTCGATTGAGCATAGGGGAAGTAGAAGAAGAAGGAGAGTTGGGATCTTGTTCGAAGCTGTTAATGGCTATTGATGATGAAGATGACGATGATGAACAACATCAGGAAGAAAAGGAGGAATCTTTAGTCGTTAATGCCTCTAGCTTGGCGCCGGGGATGGTAAGTGGTGGTTAAGTTGCGGCAGAGTTTCAGTAACAAGCTTATGGTAGGAATTCCTGAGGAGGTTAAACCGTGAAATTGTCAGTTTCTGTTTTCATTTGTTATTCTTTCATAGTGTCTTAGAATAAGAGAAAGATCAACCATATAGGTTACCAACAAGGAAAGGGGAACCAATGGTTGTGCAAATCACATCATAGTTTATATACTTCATTTGTTCTTCTAAGAAGAATTGCCCATTTGCTAGGCATTTTAGGTCTCTTGACGAGGGATGTCCATGCCATGAAACTCTATTTTGGGGGAACTAGCTAGATTGTCTTCTTTGATGGTTACTGAACAAAAGGTGAATTGTGTTGTACTGAAAAAATGAGAATCGTTCAATTTTTAAGATACCGAGACCTTAAGTAAACCTTGAAAGCACTTAGATGATGGGAGATGACATGGAACTTGTTGTGTTGTTAAAGATTGTTAGTTGAGCTTGAAGAATCTAGAGGCTTATATAGTATCATAGGGCTTGAGACTGGTGATGAATCATGATAGACAATGAATTCGCTAGGTCTCGAAGATGCTAATTTGAGATTTGAGAAGTCAAGGTTATACATACCTAAGTTTTATGAGAGAGTGGGAGATATGTTTGACTGTTGTGTTACTGCCAAAACTAACACGAGCGAAAACAGATGAAACTCTCTCTCTCTCTCTCTCTCTCTCTTTACGTCACATACTTTTTTTCTAAACAATCACAAAGATCAAAGAGTATTTTTTTACCGTCATCTATTCTTCACTCATTTTTCATGTTTCACATTTTTTAACTGTCAATAATATGTTCGTGATAAAAAAATTGTCAATAAGATGTTGGTCGCTCATTTTTATTCTTCTTCAACGCAATTAAATGTCTCGTAACCTATCACTGGTTAAAACTTGCAAGTGTTGTACAAGCTAGTGAATGCTCGATGAGGGTTCAAAATTATCAAGTTTTGGTGCATGATGATTCATCCATTGGGGGTTTGGTTGTGAAGGTAAGTAATAAAGTTGTGAATAACTTTTTGGGTTAATACTCTAGTTTGGCCCGAAGTTTAGCGTAAGTGTCAGTTCTAGCCTCATTTTTCAAATAAGACATTTATGGCCTACTTTTGAAATTATTAGACAAATTTGGCCCAAAACTTATGTTGACCGTTAAAACTGACGGTCAACTATTTTTCCGTCAGTGACACAACATCCAAATGCCAAGGTGGATCCAAGGTGGCCGCCACATCATTTATTTATATTAAAAAATTCAAAAACAAAAAACTTTAAATAAAATAAAACAAATCCAAAAAATCAAAACACACTCTCTAATCTCCACCTAACTCTCTCCCTCACGACCCAATTCACTCTCCTCCCCAACCCAACCAATCGGACCCTAACATCATAACATCACTACCGGAAAAAAAAGCCACCATACGCATCTCCAGCTACCTCCGCTCGATCTCCCCCACCATCTTCATCATCGCATCCCTACCCATCATATCCCTATCCTTGTCGGGCTTGTGTCGGTGCCTCTTCCGCGAAGGTGAAGGCGACGGGGAGGGCTGGTGGCAGCGGCGACGACGACGGTTTGGCGTGCGTGTTCGGTCCAACGAAGGTGCGTCGCCATGTCCCTATCCCAGATCTGTCAATCTCGTTGCCGAACTAGTAGGCGATGGGGCAATCCTAGGGAAGAAGAAACAACCAGAGACAATGGCAAAGGCGGCAAGCTATTTTGGACAACGCCGGCATATCCTGGGTGGTGTCACCATCGAGGATTGTCTCGAATCGGAGACGACGAGTTTGGCAAGAGCACGACGACGTTGGGTTAATCGGCTAACGGGGGTTGATTTGGCCATGTGAGAAGAAGACGGAAGTGCTGGGTTTTGTTTAGGGTGGGGATTTGGCCATGGAGAAAGAGGGGAGAGGGGAAAGATGGCGATGGAACCCTAGCAAGGGATGGGGATTTCTGGTCCATGGTGTTCTTTTGTCTTGGGGAGAAGACAATGGAGAAAGAAGATAAGGAAGGGGAAGGGTCCTCGTATCACTTTTCTCTGATTTTATTTTTTTATTTTCAGTTTTTTATTTATTTTAAATAATAATGAGGTGTTTTGGTAAAAAAAAAATTAATAACGTGTACTTGTCTAGTCAGCACAGTATGCTGAGTCATGGATGGAGATAACAATTGACTGTTAATTTTGACGGTTAACATAAGTTTCGGGCCAAATTTGTCCAATAATTTCAAAAGTAGGCCATAAATGTCTTATTTGGAAATTGAGGCCAAAATTGTCACTTACGCTAAACTTCGGGCCAAACTAGGGTATTAACCCTAACTTTTTTTAGGTAAAGTTAGGTTAATCTTTTGACAATTCAATTGAATAAAGTTAGAGGGTGGAGTTAAACTTTCTTCACCAATACTCAAAAGCCTTAAAAAGGTAGTACAATTTCATCATCATATTACCTTTGATCCTTTATTGACATCATTTCATTGTTGGATGAAAACTTATATGCAAATGCAGAAAAACGGAATGTCTTTCTTCAACGACAAAGATAATTTGATTTGATCACACCATTGTAATGATTTCTGACTATTTTGTTGTCGTGCTCTTGTAAACACTTCTAACAAGTACTCATAATTTATACTTGTAGCATAAATTGTAGTGATAAATATTTTTGGATTTAACTTGAACGAGAGAGAAAAGTACTTAAAGTTTTCACAAACAATATGTCGACTTCGATTGAAACATGACTACACCACAAATTTATTGGGGTACATGCAATCCAAATTGAGTTTGTGAGTAGTATACTGGTGTTTGGAACATAATAATGTCTCGTGTGACATATAAACGACTTGACATATCGCATTTCAAGTTTTAACGGAACACCAACAACAATGAATAGAAAGTTTAGATTTGTTAGAGACTTCAATTAGAAAAGAAAATGCCTCAACAATTGAAGCAAGCAAGTAGACCACGTTTTTCAACCACCAATTTTCTACTAGTATACATAACTTGGTTCCACCACCTCTCCATCTCACGTTCTCTTTCCAAAAATTTATTGACCCTAGATCAAAGACTTCTATGGAATCCCGTCAATATATGTGCTTTGAAATAAAAGCAAAGTATATTGTTAATTAGAAGGGGAAACAACTTAACTTTTTTGTGAGACATTCGATCTTATGTAAGTTTATTGTCAGAGAATTATATTAATCGATTATCTGTTCTGATTTTGATGTATATGTATGTCGTTTATAACATCTTTCAAGAAAATTTTGATGGAATAGTAGATTCGAATGTGAGATATCATTCAAATGAATTTTTGAATTTCCATCTTATAGGCTAGGTTGTACACACCATTAATAATCCAAATACCAATATAACTTGTTGAATTATATACGGGATTACCATAGTCTTCAAATGTCATGTGATCAATAATACGGATTAGAACACCATTTTATCATAACTTTTACTCGAAAAAGAAGAGCTAACTTGATGAAAAAGAAGAGAAATGAGATGAGATGAGGAAGAATCCAAAAGGGCATAAATAATCTACTTTTTCGAAAAGAAAAAAATTGATTGCTGAATAAGCTGGAGGGCTGAAAATGAGGTCGGAATGAAACTCAAATTCAGATCAAATTCACTCCGCCTTCTCAAAACCCACATTTTTTTTATTATTGAATATTGAATATTCCTTTTTTATTTTCATTATTAATAAATTCACGCGTAGTCTTTCCTCTTCTAGTCTTCTTCCTCCCTCCGTCATGAAATCCGTGTCGTACACCTCGTCGCCTTAACCAAAAACAAAAGAAAACAAAAATTCCTTTCATTTTCTTCTTGTGCTGCTTTTCTTTCTTCATCTTCTTCTTTAGACTTTGCAGCTTCGATGGTGTAGAGAGAGAAGAGCGGAACCATTTTGTTTCCTTCCCACCCTTTCCCATTCTCCAATCCATCATAGCCATATCCGCCGCTGAAAACGGTTAACATTTTGTTGACTGATGCTCTCTTCTTTCCCTCCCTAATTCCACTTTACACTGTCTTCTCTCTGTTCTTTTCCCCACTGTTTCGCCGGCTTCTAGCTGCCGTCTGCCGCTTCAATGATGCTCCGCTCCTGTCATCTCACGAGGTAGTAGTTTGTTTGTTTGTTTGTTTGTTATGCCTGCAAGGTGTTTGGTTAATTTCCTGTGAGAAAGGTTCGGCCTTTTTGATGAGTTGTTTCCTCTCTTCCTTTTTGCCGACTTTGTTTGCAGTGGGTTTTGATATTGGTGGGAGAGAACCGAAGGGTTATTTTTTTTCGGGCCATTTGTCTGAGAGTTGGTTGCTGTTTTAGGGGGTCGGAAGTAAGGTAAGGTTGGAAGAGGGAAATGGGTGATACGGAAGATAGGAGCACTGAAGTGATGCAGCGGTTGCAATCTTCGTTCGGGACTACTCAGTCTTCTTCTTCGATGTTAAAGCAGCAGCCTTTTTCATCGGGGAAGCAGCTTGATATCCCTCCTTTGAGTCAAAACCAAATGCGGACGAGGCATTTCGCTCAGTTTGCCCAGCAGGGTTTTGGCGGGGATAACAGCAGTAATGGTAGCAAGAGAGTTGGGATTCCACCTTCACATCCCAACCAGATCCCACCCATTTCGCCTTTCTCTCAGATCCCAGTGTCTAACAGGCCAATCAACCAGCAAATGGGTTCACAGAGTTACAGCCCTGGTCGCGGTCATTCACGATCCTTGTCACAGCCGTCTTCGTTCTTCTCACTTGATTCTCTGCCTCCTCTGAGCCCTGCATCATTCAGAGACCATTCCCCCACTACTGCTGTTTCAGAACATATGTCGACTGATGCTTCAATGGAGGATAGGGATGGGAACTCTCACACTTTATTGCCACCATCGCCGTCGCCTTTTAGCCGGGCAGGTACTCCTCGAGTTGGTGAGAGTTTGCCTCCTAGGAAGGCTCATAGGCGGTCTAATAGTGATATCCCATTTGGGTTTAGTGGCGTGATGCAGTCTTCCCCGGGACTTGTTCCATTGAGAGGGACAGCTGGTTTTGGTAAACCAGATCAGTCGGTGAAGAGGGAGTGGGAGAAAGGTGTTGATAGCAATGAAGAAGGGGCGGGGGAGAGGAAATCTGAAGGTGAAGTTGTGGAAGATTTGTTTTCTGCGTATATGAATTTGGACAACTTTGATGCGTTGAACTCATCTGGGACAGATGACAAGAATGTTACTGAGAATCGTGAGGATTTAGATAGCAGAGCTAGTGGAACCAGGACCAACGGGGATAGCAGTGATAATGAGGCCGAGAGCAGCATGAATGAAAGTGGGAGCAGCTTTCCGAGAGGAGGATTGAGTTCTTCAGTGGAGAGAAGGGAAGGGGTTAAAAGGAGTGCTGGAGGGGATATTGCTCCAACTTCAAGACATCATAGAAGTGTTTCCTTGGATAGTTTCATGGGGAAGTTAAACTTTGGTGATGAGTCCCCAAAGCTTCCTCCTTCACCGGGGCCTCTTCCAGGACAATTATCTCCTACTAGCTCGATTGACGGGAGCACCTTTAGTTTGGATTTCGGTAATGGAGAGTTCAACAATGTTGAACTGAAGAAAATTATGGCGAACGAGAAACTTACTGAGATTGCTTTAACTGATCCAAAGCGTGCAAAGAGGTACCTTTCCTGCCCCCATCCCCACTGCTTAGATACAGTTCATTAGATGCATCTATGCTACCAATACTTACCTCATCTTCTTGTTGGCTGGATCATTCAGAATTTTAGCAAATCGTCAATCTGCTGCTCGTTCTAAGGAAAGGAAGATGAGATACATTTCAGAACTGGAGCACAAGGTGCAGACTCTTCAGACAGAAGCTACTACATTGTCTGCCCAGCTTACTCTATTGCAGGTAACGATGTTAATGATTCTAGAGTTTCTCCCCATATATATGTTTTGTCAGCCTGCTTGAGTGATACGTTTTTGGTTTGGTATATGTAGAGAGATTCTGTTGGACTTACAAATCAGAATAATGAACTGAAGTTTCGTCTACAAGCCATGGAGCAACAGGCACAGCTTCGAGATGGTATGAACAACATCTCCCTTTCTCTTGTCTGCTCACGTTGTATCTCTCAATGGTCCAAACTCATTGGCTGCTTCATCGTAACCATAAGCCTGTATCCACTGCCCAATGTTTTCTCTTTTGGATAGCTGAACATCGATCCTAGCTTTGCACCATAATTGGACGCTACGCGGTTAGGAAACTAGCTAGACTCTCTCCCACATTAGCTCTTTGTGCTCTTCTTAATAGACGTTTGCATCTTCCTCAGCATTATGTGCCATGTAGCCTCCTGCTGTCATCCCCTCTTTGCTATTAGCTCGCTACCTAGTGTAGATGGCGACAGGTCAAATGTTCTGATTGTGAGTGACATGTTCTAATAGTACTAGTTGCTGCTGGTTAAGCTCGGAGTTTGAGGGAAGGTGTAGGTCATGTTCGATATCCGCACCCTTTAATATGAAACGTTCGCTTTGATGTTCTCCTATGAAGCCGTGAACCTATAGCAACTGAAGTCTAAACTAAAACATAGGGGAGACCTAGCCAGTAGCTAGAATCCAGCGAGGCTCTTATTTGTGGTTCCATTCCCATGCCATATTGCAAGATTTCTTGATGTAACTTACCTGGTATCTTTGGCAGCTCTCAACGAAGCTTTAACTGCTGAGGTTCGACGACTGAAGATCGCCACTGCTGAAATGAACGGCAACAGCTTCGATGCATCCAAAGGCATGGTTCCACAGCAGATGTTCCAGCAGCAGCAGCAGATGTCCTCCCAGCGCAACACCCATCAATTGCAGCAGCAGCAGCAGCAGGAACAACAGAATGGAACAAACTCGAAATCAGAAGCTAGCCAGTAAATGCAAATTCATTCATTAAGTTTCTTTGTATCCCCACCGGCGGTGGTGATTAGAGATTCCCCACATCTTTCTTCGACCCCTTCTGGCATATCAATCTTTTGCTGCAATCAATGGTTATTCATATATACAGGCGTTCTTCGTATTATATATTTTATTACATGTTAGATGGTATAGTCAAATGAGTACAGCTCATATTCGTTTATGTACTTATATTTTATTATATTTACATATCCATATATATCAAGTAAAACGGTTTGTCTGTTGAAGATGTTGTATGGTTTTGGTTCGAGCATGAAGACAGAAATTGCAGAAGTTGGGACTTTAAAACACGTCCCATCTACTGCTATTTTAGTATAATAACAAGTTGTTTTTTTTTGGATAATCAATAATAACAAGTTGTTAGTTGTACGTTCTTTCAATAACGGTTATTCTTTTCATTTTTCTATGGTTTTTCTTTTACAAGAGGACACTGTATTTCCATTACTAGTTGCAAAAGCCAAGTGTTACAAAAGTGGTGAGACAACGTCAAGAATCTGAACCCATTCAGAGGGTAGAGTATTCTTGGCACATGATCTAGCTACCCAGTTTGCTTTCGAATTGCTCTTACGACCAACGTGCGTGATCTTAATCAATGGGTTAGAGTCCATCGTTTGTCTGATAATGCCAATCCATGCTGCCGCTCGCCATGGCCACGATTTCGGATGATCATGAATTGCATGAACAAGGGGCAGGCAGTCAGAGCGGACAAAGCAGGGAGAATGGAGACCAGCAGCCAAACGTGAGCCTTCCAAAAGGGCCTTGGCTTCAGCTTCAAGTGGGGAAAAACAGTGCAAGATCTCAGCTTTACCGTCACACACTTGACCACCATGACTGTCAATGGTTTATGTTGGTGGGGGAGCAGAGAATCGTGGAACAAGTTTGTGCGGTAGTGGAAATTTTTTTTAACTATTTTCTTCTTACATATTTAGAGTTTTAGACGATTTCTAATGATAAAATCTATCAATCGCCGATTTGAACTAATTTTTTTTGGATGACGTTTTCGTTATATTTTGAAAGATTTTTAGAAATACTATTTTTCTTATATTTAGAAAGCTATAGATAACAAATTCGGCTTGATGTTATTCTTCATCGATGATTAAATCTATTAAGCACCGGTTTGGTAGGATTTATTTTGGGTCCATTTTTGGCAGATTCGAAAGGGGTACCATCATCGATATTCGGTGATTTTTCTGAAATGTCATTGTTTTTCGATTTTGGAGTCCACAGATCATGGATTCAGCCCGAGGCTATTCTCCACCGATAATGAAGATTATTGATCTTATTCTCCACCGATTATTAGTCCATTAAGCACCGAATGAGGCCATTTTATTTTGGGATGGCATTTTCGTAATTGTTAGGGATATTTTTTTTCTTCGAAATGTCATTTTCCTTATATTTTGAATGTTACAGATCACGGATTCGCCCTGAGTCTATTCTTCAACGATGATTAAGTGCATTAAGCACCAATTTGGGCGGATTTCTTACAGGTCCATTTTTAGCTAATTCCAAAGGGGTACCATCACCAATTTCGAGCGATTTTTCCGATATAGCATTTTCATTTGATTTTGGAGGCTACAGATCACGGATTCAACCCGATGTTATTCTCCACTGATATCAAAGTCTATTGATCCTATTCATGACCGATGATGAAGTCCATTAAGCACCGAATTGAGCCAAAGTATCTTGGGGAGGCATTTTCATAAATTTTTGGGCCATTTTTTTTAAATGCCATTTTCCTTGTATTTTGAAGGCTACAGATCACGGATTCAGCCTTAGACGATACTTCAACGATGATTAAGTCCATTAAGTACCGATTTGGGAATATTTCTTACAGGTCCATTTTTGGCAAATTCGAAAGGGGTACTATCACTGATTTCGGGAAATTTTTACGAAATTCCATTTTTCTTTCGATTTTGTAGACTACAGATCACGAATTTAGTCCAAGGCTATTCTCCACCGATAATGAAGTCTATTGATCCAATTTTCCACCAATGATCAAGTTTATTAAGCACCGAATTGGACCAATTTATTTTGTGATGATATTTTCATAATTTTTTTGGGCCATGTTTTTCGAAAGACCATTCACCTTGGATTTTGAAGGCTACAGATCACGAATTTGGCCTGAGTCTATTCTACAATGATGATTAAGCCCAATAATCACTGATTTAGGAGGATTTCTTCCGGGTACAATTTTGGCAAATTCGTATTTCGAGTGATTTTTACGAAATGTCATGTTCTTTCGTTTTAGGGGGCTACAGATCACGGATTCTGCCTGAGGCTATTATCCACCGATATTGAAGTCTATTGATCCTATTCTCCACCGATGATTAAGTCCATTAAGCACCGAATTTGGCCAATGTATTTTGGGAAGGAATTTTCGTAATTTTTGGGACTTATTTTTCAAAATGCCATTTTCCTTGGATTTTGAATGCTACAGATAACAGATTCGGCCTATTCCTATTCTTCAACGATAATTAAATCCATTTAGAACCAATTTGGGCAGATTTGTTTTGGGTCCATTTTTGGCAGATTCGAAAGGGGTACCATCACAGATTTCTGGCGATTTTTCTTAAATGCCATTATCTTTCGAGTCTGGAGGCTATAGATCACGGAATAAGGCCGAGACTATTCTCCACGGATAATGAAGTCTATTGATCCTATTCTCCACGGATGATAAGTCCGTTAAGCATCGATTTGGTCCAATTTATTTTCGGATGGCATTTTCGAAATTTCTTGGGCGACGAAAGGCCATTTTCTTTGGATATTGAAGGCTCCAGATCAGGGATTCGGCCCGAGGCTATTCTCCAACGATGATTGAGTCCATTAAGCACAGATTTGGGCGAATTTATTCCGGGTCAATTTTTGGCAGATTCCAAAGGGGTACCATCACAGATTTCGGGCGAATTATCCGAAATGCCATTTTCTTTCGATTCTTGAGGCTACAAATCACGGAATCAAGCCGAGGCTATTCTCCACAAATAATGAAGTCTATGGATCCTATTCTCCACGGATGATAAGTCCGTTAAGCATCGATTTGAGCCAATTTATTTTCGGATGGCATTTTCGTAATTTCTTGGGCGACGAAAGGCCATTTTCTTTGGATATTGAAGGCTACATATCACGGATTCGGCCTGAGGCTATTCTCCAACGATGATTGAGTCCATTAAGCACCGATTTGGGCGGATTTATTTCGGGTCAATGTTTGGCAGATTCCAAAGGGGTACCATCACAGATTTCGGGCGATTTATCGGAAATGCCATTTTCTTTCGATTCTGGAGGCTAGAGATCACGGAATCAGGCCGAGGCTATTCTCCACCGATAATGAAGTCTATTGATCCTATTCTCCGCGGATGATAACTCGGTTAAGCCTTGATTTGGGCCAATTTATTTTCGGATGGCATTTTTCGTAATTTCTTGGGCGACGAAAGGCCATTTTCTTTGGATATTGAAGGCTACAGATCACGGATTCGTCCTGAGCCTATTCTCCAACGATGATTGAGTCCATTAAGCATCGATTTGAGCGGATTTATTCCGGGTCAATTTTTGGTAGATTCCAAAGGGGTACCATCACAGATTTCGGGCGATTTATCTAGAATGCCATTTTCTTTCGATTCTGGAGGCTACAAATCACTGAATCAAGCCGAGGCTATTCTCCACCGATAATGAAGTCTATTGATCCTATTCTCCAAGGATGATAAGTCCATTGAGCATCGATTTGGGCCAATTTATTTTTGGATGACATTTTTGTAATTTCTTGGGCGACGAAAGACCATTTTCTTTGGATATTGAAGGCTACAGATCACGGATTTGGCCTGAGGCTATTCTCAACAATGATTGAGTCCATTAAGCACCGATTTGGGCAGATTTATTCCGGGTAAATTTTGGCAGATTCCAAAGGGGTACCATCACAAATTTTGGGCGATTTATCCGAAATGCCATTTTCTTTCGATTATGGAGGCTACATATCACTAATCAGGCCGAGGCTATTCTCCACCGATAATGAAGTCTATTGATCCTATTCTCCACGGATGATAAGTCCGTTAAGCATCGATTTGGGCCCATTTATTTTCGGATGGCATTTTCGTAATTTCTTGGGCGACGAAAGGCAATTTTCTTTGGATATTGAAGGCCGATGTAGTCAAAAGCGCGATTCTACCTAAAAGCGGAAAAAGGGTAAAATCGAAAAAGCGGTGAATCAAAGCGTAAAAGCGTAAGTTTTTATGCATCTTGTATAATAGTTAAAAATCTGTTAAGTACACCATAAACTATGTAAAATATGAGTGCACATAATTTAGCTAAAAGAATAAATACCTGCAATTCATGTCAAAATTAAAATAAACTATTATCGAGCCATGGACACATGGCTCTTCCGCTGTACTCTTCGATCCATCGATCTCCCACCACTACAACAACCACCGTCGTTTCCGCCTCTGCCTCTATATTAATTACATCGTACAATCCAACTCTTTGTCCTAGGAACTAATACAAACATTTAGTTTCCCCTTCATTGACTAGACGACGAATCTTCATAGTTATTGATGTATAATGAAACACAACTGCTCAAATTGGTGAAGACTGAAGTGGCGATGGGCTAGGACAAGGAAGAGACAGAAACTAACCGGTTGTGTCACCGGCGAGTGGCGAAAGGCGATGACGAGTCCGACGGGTGACAGGCGACGGGCGCTGCCGCGTTGGAGGCTTGGAGCCTTGTAACAGCTGCAAATTCTTCGGTGGAAGGGGGCGGATTAGCGGCAACGGTTGTGAAGCCTTGTAGCAGCTACGGATTCTTCATTGGAGTGCTAGAGACAGGAGACAACGATTAGGGATTCTGGAAGAGTTTGGCAGCCTCAGCCCGATATCCACCCTATTCCTTTTTTTTTTGTCCGTAGTGCTCAAAACGGCGTTGTTTTGTTTTGGTGGAGGCAGTTTTCTCCTTTGCTTGAAATCGGATAAAATCGGTCTGAAAACGCGATTTTATACGATTTCACCGATTTTAACGAGTCTAATAACGCTTTTGACCGATTTTGAGTGAAAGCGATTTTATTAGTGATTTGAAACGTTCTCCTACCCTAGAAACGTAAAATCGTACGATTTTACGCTTTAAAGCGCGATTTTGACTGCACTGTTGAAGGCTACTGATCACGGATTCGGCCTGAGGCTATTCTCCAACGATGATTGAGTCCTTTAAGCACCGATTTGGGTGGATTTATTCCGAGTCAATTTTTGGCAGATTCCAAAGGGGGTACCATCACAGATTTCGGGCGATTTATCCGAAATGCAATTTTCTTTCGATACTGGAGGCTACAGATCACGGAATCAAGCCGAGGCTATTCTCCACCAATAATGAAGACTATGGATCCTATTCTCCACGGATGATAAGTCCGTTAAGCATTGATTTGGGCCAATTTATTTTTGGA